CCATTTCTCAGAACCATGAAGGAGGGAGCTCATTTGGTAAACATTATTAGCACTAACAAATCTTGAAGAGTGGAAGTTTCCCCCAAACCACTGTAAATGTCAGACAAAAAAGGCAGTAAATTGTCCATGCCTTGAGGTGCACTTCTGATGAACGTGGGAAAATGACAGCCCAGACATTACATTTTTAATTTTATTCCTATTATTTCTGAAAAGTGAAGGCTATCCAAGTGGTTAACACTGCATACTGTGGCAGGAGCAAGTCAATGAAGCGGCTGGGCAGGACACATTGGGACGCATCACACACAGAGAAACACACACGCAGGCTACGTCAGCGCAGCTGCAGATTTGTATACTTGTAAGTCACCATGCATAAGACAGTAAACAATGCAAAGAGTAGCTAACATGCCCGAATGGTGGTTCTATTTTTTTTTTTTAAATATATATTTTTTTATATATATAGTCTGCATGAGAGAAAATGAATCTGATATTTTACACATAGTGCCCAGCAGGCCAGTGGAAAACAAATGCTGAATAATACACATATAAATCTTTCAGCAACAACTGGCGTATGTGCACCAGACCGACGATCAGTGAAATTTAGAGGACCAAACTATATATCATTTTTGTGCACATTGTTGGGATTGTATTTAAGAATCTGCACTTCCTCTCTCTCCCTTACGCACTCATCTTCCTTAAATAACGTTACACCACTAAAGGATGACAAGAGCAAATATCTGAGTCTCAGTTGGTTTGGTACAGTGTACTTAAGTCTATGTATAAGATGGTCTTGAAATGAATAAATAGACATGTTTGTCCTTGCTGGGACGATGAGCTTAAACATGTCACCTGAACGCCCCCTAGCACAGTAAGGGGGTAGAGCAGTCGTCTTACTAAGAAAGACTTAACTAGCTTGGGCAGGGGGCTTAATGACTTCGGGGGGAAAAAACCAACACGGTTGCCAGGGCTGTGGGAAACCATGGCGAGAAGTGTAGCAACGGCTTGTCAGCAGCAGAATGAGCCGCCAACAGCTGCAAGGGCTGGGGACTGTGCAGCGCCGGGCCCGGCTGGTCCGATTGTTGGCCCTGATGTAGACAAATTGACTCAAATTAGTTTAGCATGGGCCGCCTGGCAAAGGGAGCACAACTGGGGAGGCTGATGGCTACCTCAAACCCAGTCACAAGATTATGGACGAGACCAGGACTATGTATTCCTGGATGGAGGGATCACGTACCATGTAACAAAGTGCTCCTTCAAGATCAGAAAAAAAGATAAGCATTTCTCCCAACATTAACTCAAACTGAAGCTTGCTCCCTAAGCCGAACAGGAAAAGAAAGATTATGAGGTCATGCGCTGCCCTGGTACAGCAGTCTGGATGGAGGCATGATGCTCTGCAAGAACTCAGATTCACAGCATTCAAAAGTGTAGAGCTGGAGTTGTCCCCTCTGCTCTTTGAGCTCTCAGTATAAATGAGTAAAATCTGACAGCAAAAGTAGTGCCAAATACTCCGGTCAACCTGGATTTACATGAAAAAAAAGTGACATCATACAAAGATGCACTCGCTTTCTGTACCAGAGAAGGTGGACTGACTCCTGAATGCGGCCGAGCCAACAGTCCTGGGCGATCTTGACACCTGGGGACCACCAAGGGTGCCGCATCTCCCTTTGCGTTACAGTAATCTTATTAGCCCTCGGCCCACAATGCAGTGTGCCGCCCCAGTGCTCGCCACGGCCCAGTCGCCCAGGCCAGCCTTAATCCTTTTCAAGCACCAGTTGTGAGAAAGGCAGGCGGGAGAAGAGTCTTTTCCAGTAAAATGGAAAAACACACACACACACACACACACACACACACACACACACAGCAAGAGCCAATGTTCTAAAATTTGGCTTGAAGTAAATTGCTGCTTGTCCACTAAACCAATTGCCTTTATATAAAATAAACCTAAAGCAAGTGTCAGAAAAGCAGGTAGAAAAAGCCACAAAATACCGATGACTCAGAAAGCAACCCTGCCAGACACAGTAAGTGTTGTCCTGAAACTATCTGGTAGAGCTCCTGACAGCTTTAGACTTTGATCACTGCTGCCCCCCCACCCACAAACTTCTTAGCGGGCCAGTTGCTATGGAAACCCAGCCAGTTCCCCACCAAGGCGAAGCTAATTGCCACTTCTTTCATTTTCCAGCCATCTCTAATAATACATTACCAAGTGTCGCATCTTTGTAAGGATCTTCAGGTGACACAATACAGCCAATTTGTGTTGAACACAATGTTTGCTCAACAGCAAGAAAACTTAAATTATGGAAGCACCTCACTGCATAACTTCATTGTCAAATCACAGATAACCATACACCTAATCACCAAGGATACTTTTGTATACTACCTGCCCTGTTTACAAAACAACATGAATTTTCTGCTAGTGATTATGAATCATGTTGAGAACAGAATGAGTGAATATAGGTGCCATTAGTTAACAGCCAGTGTAAGGGAAGTGAGTAGCAGGGTAGCACAAATAACAAAAGGTTCAGTAAAATGAATGTTTAAATCATGAGAAATGGCAGGGATGCAGCAATACAGATACTAGTATTAGTAGTATCTGTATCGATTCTCATGTACTCAGAAACATGACAATGCGCAGATGCCTATAACCAATACAACCTAACGTATCAGCGATATCATTATCGAGTAAAACAAACAGGACACAATGTCTGAGGTGCGTAAATACTTCAAGATAAACAACAAAAACCAAAGCATTATGAAGTGCAAACAGTGCTCTGTACACTCTGAACGTTTCTATAGGCTACCTTAATCGTTACACCGTGAAGTTTGGCAAGTTTTAATGCTGGCTATTTGGCTGAATACTTTAGATATTGTCATGCTCTTTAGTTGGAAAAAATGTACTTGCTTGGTGCCACGTGCATGGATGTATGCAAGTATGTATGTGTGTGTGTGTGGGGGGGGGGGATTATTTTCCTGAAGTTTCTGAATTAAAATATTGCATATTATTTTTTAGGCATCACTGAGCCTTAATTGGCATTGGTAATTACCAGAAAGTGAGTATTAGTACTTGCATTTGGTCTGAAAAAATGGAACTGTTGCATTTGTATAGAAAAATTAAATGATAGCTTCAGGGCAGTTTGAGTGTGGATGCATTTACTGCATTCTGAGATGGCCAAACAAATCAGTAAGACAGAATGATTAATGTAACATCAATATTTGCAAGTGCAGTTTCATCAATGTTAATGGGCATATCAAAACTTTGAGGAAGTGAGTGCCATCTTTAAATGATTACAACACGAGTAGATAAAATGTTACTATAGCAGCTCAGAGGGTAATCTTACATGAGAAACTTCCACAGTGACAAGCATACATCAATGACAAATGCTAACATTTACCTCATCATTAATTGTCCCAAATTGAGCTGTTAACACAGCAGCTAATTCTGACAGCTTAGGTTCTTTTATTTACTTATATGGCTTGACATATTTTTTAAGGATGTGCATTGCTCTTAAAACTACATTTTATAACATGTATTCATATATGGACATGATAGGATTAGAGTATATTAATCATTTTATACATGTGATACATTAAAAAGCGGTGGTGGGCTACTGAAGGGACAAGAAAGTTCTGCCATTATAAAATAAAAAAAAACAGAAAAACTATATTAATCCCAAGGCTGCCCCCTGCTGTAAGGGCCCGATATTACAACAAACTCTGCAAAGGCCCAACAAGCTACACAACTTATTAAATGTTTTCATTTTACATGTAATTACATCACAAACAAAGTACAATTGGAGTTCACAAGTTCTCCCCATTTCTACACGGATTTCTCCCCACAATCCAAAAGCATAAATATTAAGCAAGCTGGTATCTCTAATATTACATATGATGTATGATGAAATTACCCTTTATTTGCCATTTGCACAAGTAGGTGTACAGGTAAATTACAATGCTTCTTGCACATTCCATCATACTGTCCTGTGAGACAATATATACCACATGACTGTGGGCAGTGGTGTGTTCTCTGCAATGAGCTGGCATCCCACCCAAGGTGTCCCATTCCATGTGCCCTATGATGCCTGGCATAAGTTTACTCAGACCCTGCACTAAATGAGCAGCGACAGAGGATGTATGAAGTATAACAATCTCATTTCAGATGCAATATTTTTTCAGCTCTCTGCATAACTGATTCACACGGAGTTTTGTGAAACATTATTTCATTATTTTATTTCATTGGATAAAACAATGAACAGATGATATCGCTTTATTTACAGTAAATCTTACTATTATAATAATTATTATAGCATTATGATTGAATTATTCTTCTTGACGGCTCATTAGTGGTCCAGAGGAATGAGAGCAGAATATTAAACCACGCATACGTATTTTAATTACAATCAGTATAAATCCCAGTAAGGACAAAAGACAAAAGTGGCAATAGCACAGGGTGGACACCGTTATAGAAAAATATCTATTGATTTGTTACTTATTACCGTTTTCCGAAGCGGTTGGTAATGGCAGAAATTCCGGAATCTGTATCAGATATCGGTAACTGAGAAACCAAGAGCTGGTTTTAAAAACAATTTAAGTGAAATTGAAACGCATATGTATTGATATATGAAAATAAGTATATGAAAAAAATAAGCTCATGACTACACTAGTACGTAAGTACGAGAAGTCCAAATTAAGCTACTCAAACCGAAGAAAAAATTAATCAGACAAGAGATTTTAACGAGAATAAACACTTACTTACATGTTTGTGTTTGGAATGCATAAAATCAAAGTTTGTCACTTACTTGGATATAAAATGTAACAGAATGCGCAGCGAAAAAAAGATTTAAAACACAGGACGTCTCGGTGAGGTTACCTGTCCTTTCTGAAGATGCAAGAAGTTTTGAAAGTTCGTGAATTGCAGAGCGGGTCATCAGCGAATATGAACACCAGCCGGTGATTTTCTTACATGCAAAAACCATAAAATTACCATAACGTTTCCCACTTAATAACGTTCTCATCAACGAACAGCGATATCTTGTATTAACGGCATTTTATAGTTGTTTAAACAGAATTTGTACTATTTCTCTCCACAGCAACGACTTGTAGCGTCCAGGAAAAGGAAGTGCGTCATGTCGCCAGCAGCGCTGCTTACGTCTCCAAACTACCCGAGTAATCAAAAAAATCGCGCCAAAACCGTCCCGCCAAAACGATCCTGACGCACGAACGTTTATCATATTTACAATAAGATTCTATTATAGGCCTACTGATAACTGCGTTATCTGTGTGCCACCTGGTTATAAATCACTAAACAATGCTGGTCTGGCAGTGAAAACAACAATTTATTGTTTCAGAATGAAAATGCTTTATCAATAAGAATAACGATGTGAGGAACATTTTTGATAAATTGGGGGTGGGGGGTGGTGAATAGTGCCACATTTGAATTTTATAAATACCCGAAAAATTAGGGAAAATTCATCTGTAATCCCAACGAACAGTGAGCGGTCCCAGAACTTGGCAAAGTTGGCAGAGAGCATTTTTGAACGTTGTTTCTATATTTTATATTTTACCAACAGTTCTGTATGTGTTAGCCCGGTGGAATAATTACCAGAACATCCTTTTAACGTAATGTTGAAAAGACATTTTATAATGAAATGTTATTTTATAGTAGTGCATTATGTATACACTGCAAAGGCTATGTACAGCCTTAAATTCGTGACCTTAGAAGTATAAAACCACAATGCTGCCTTCTGCTCTACCATGCCCTTAATTTGTTTATGCTTTATTATTCTTAGTTGTAATAGTGGGATGACATTCTAGTAACACCAAGAAAATCGGGCACTTTGGACATTTCCATAAGCTACTTAATCATAATGTTTGATAACTTGATAGCCTAAGTGGGATATCCATCCTAAAATTTAAAAAACTTAATTAGTTGGATTTTTTTTTTGTTTTGTTTTTAAAAGAGTAGTAAATTTTATGTAATATATGCTTGGGTGGAGTGGTGGCTCTGAGGCCAGGGTTCTTAGTTAGCAATGGGAAGGTTGCTTGTTCAAATCCTCTAAATGCCATGACTGATTCCAGTCTGTTGGGCCCTTTGTCCTGGATGTGCTGTTAACCTACATCCATCCTTGTAAGTAGATCCTTTAAGGGAAAACTTGGGGGTTGGTAGCAGGATTGGTACTCCAGCTACCAGAAGGAAATCTTCATACTTGTCACGCCCAGCTCATCCGATCCTCGTGTGTGCCACACCCCCTCATCATCCACGTGTGCTTCCCCGATTGTGCCCAGCTGTTCCCAGTTATTTTGGCTTGTCTCATGTATATCACTCCACGTCTTCCTCAGTTGGCTGTCCGTCATTGATGTGATGTGCGTCGCTGTCGGCCCTGTCTCCCCAAATAAACCCTAGTTTCCCGCAAACCTACCTGCCTGCTTCGTCCTTCGCCGCTTCCTACCTGCTCGTCCGCCACATACGTGACAATACTATTCCATTCAAACTTATGTGGTGCTGTGGCATCACCCACTACAGGGCTGCACTCAGATTCTCATCCCTGAGGAGGTTTGTCATGTGGTAGGTGTGGCAATGCACTGTATCAGCTTGTGCTCCTTATCCTCCAAGTTTCATCTAAATCTTTTAAAATATAAAATAAATAATATAGTAACAACAATTCTCATTCTCCAATAAATGCTTCTCATTTCAACTGCATTTTCATTTTTATTCTATCCAGCTTGATTATTGTACATTCATTGGGAGACATAAAGTAGACATAGGTAAGGCAGAGGAACATAGGTAATTTCAGACAAACAAGAGCTACCTTGCCAAACTTCACTCAGTCTCATTAATGAGAAATACTGGAGCTAGTATGGGACAATATGAAAGTTTAAAAAATTACACTTTTACAAATGCTGAAATATTCATTCATCTTCTATAGTGCTTGTCCTTTACAGGGTCACAGGGAGACTATTCTGGAAAGAATGAGTGCTGGAAGGGAATAGCCCAGGATGAGGTGCCAGCCAATCTCAGGACATGCACACCATTCACATACAGTATATGGACAATTTGGCAACTCATGCTTACCTTAGCAAGTTTTTGGGCTGTGGGGCAGGCTGGAGTACCTGGGGAAAGCCCCATGGCAGCATGAAGAGAACATACAAGCTCCAGATGTGTGGAGCTGCAGCACTGACATCACCCATGGTCCCAGAGGTAGGAGGCAACTGAGCTAATCATGGTACCACCTTGCCACCACCCCCCTACCTCATGGGCAAGATACCTGGGATCCAAGCAATTATACCCAAATATGGCCTTGAATTTGAGGATAAAGAGAAAATGGACAGACTAGAAAAGGATAAACTTTACTACTACTTGTGTATAACAGTAATTGATACTTTTATTGATTCCTGTGGGGAAATTGTCTTTACACCTCCCTCAACTAGCTCTTTGTAGAGTAAGCTGTCCATGAAGAACAGCCACCCGTAGCAGCGCCCAGGGAGCTGGGGGTTAAGGGCCTTGCTCAAGGACCTACATACAGGCATGCTGAGGCTGCGTTTGAACCAGTGACCTTCTGCTTACAGGCACTGAGCCACACACTGCCCCAACTATGTACTACGTATTAGTAACTAGTAACTACATATGTAGTTGTTGCAGCAGTATGTAGAGTAGTGGAAGCAGCATTTGTAGCAGTTGAACCAGTAATTGAAATAATTAATGGCGTTTAGTACAATTTTTTGTTGTTGTTGCACGAAACAGCACAGACAAAAGTCATTTTACTATTTTCTGATTATAGGAGTGCCAACTTTGTGCAGATATTTGCTGGGATGAGAATAGATTGAGTTTGTAAAGAGAGCTTTGTAATTTCCCCACCATAGGTCAAGTCAAGTCAAAGTTTATTTATCAAATGTATAACAGTACAGCAAAATGTTGTGTATTTGAAAAATAAACTTTAATTTGATTTCATTACTTTTAAAGTTGAGACATTTCAAGTTGAGAGAGTCTGAGAACTATTTTAGAGCTTTATGAGATCTCTTTAGAAACTTGAAGAGAGGCGGATCTGAGATTTTATGTCTTTTTGTTCAGAACAAAAAAAAAGAAAAAGAGAGACACAGGAGAAATAAGGAATTGTTACATTATGGTTTGCATAGGACTGGTGGGTAGGGGATCCATCCACCTTCCATACCTGCTTACCTTATGCTCCGTCATCGGATCTGGAGCCTACCCTGGTAGGTATGGGTGCAATGCAGGTAAGAACCCAGGATGGAGTGTCAATCCATCACAGGCACACTCACCATTCACACACTTATTCACAAATTGGTGATTTCAATTCACCTTAGCATGTTTTTGGACACCATGATGATATTGATAGAACACACAAACTTTGGGCCAAGGCAAAGACGGGAACTCCAGTCCCAGAGGTACAAGACAACAATGCTAACCACTGCACCGCCCTGAAAATGCATGACTAATGTATTCATTACATGGATTACATTTCCATCCATCCATTTTCTGTAACTACTTGTCCTATTCATAATAATAATTAATACTTTATTGATCCCCATGGGAAAATTCTCCTTTCACCTCCCCCAACTTGCCCTGTGTACATGAGAGCAAGCTGGCCACGAAGGGCAGCCAGCCATTATGGCACCCAGGGAGCTGGGGCTTAAGGTGCTGAGGTAACCTTCTGATCACAGGCGCAGAGGTTTAGCCCACTGAGCCACACACTGCCCCCTGGGTTGTGGGGGTCCAGAGCCTGTCACATGGCACACACACACCTACAGGCAATACCAGTGTGCCTGTGGTATCAAAATATCCTCAGGAAACCACATGACGACATGGGAAGAACATGCAAACGCCACACGGAGAGCAAGGATTGGAGTCTTGATTCCAGAGGTGCAAGGCAACAATACTAGCCACTGCACCACTGTGCTGGCTCAGGCTACTACTACTACTCCAAAAAAAATGATTGTCATTGTCTGACACAGCTAAAATGACCTCTATGTGAGAGACAGATGCATACTGTATTTGGGAGTGAACAGCTAAAATTAATAAGGAGGAATGTTTCTTTAAGTAGAGATACAGTCATTATTTGCAGTTAATTACATGCAAAGATAAAAACATTACTGTGAAGTGCATATTGTGACAGAATACAAAGGAACTTTCCACCGCTGTAAATTCAGCCAGCAATCTGCTGAATCACCTAATAAGACTGTAAGCTAGGAGGTCAAATATCTGCATTTTTTAGAATGGCATTTATTATTTATTATCTCTCTCACTGTTCTACTCTCCCAAGAATGTGGATTTTCAGAAATGTTCACAAACTTAACTTGAAATGAAAGTTTCTGTCACACAAATAGGAGGATGGCAGAGTAGGAAACACAGATGGGGCAGAAGATCGAAGAGGGGGACGGTGATGAAGCTATTGGGAGTCAGGACTGGAGGAAAGTGTCGATAACTGGGGAAATATGATGTCAAGACGGGACCCGGTGCACTGGGTGCCGGCTACAGGATGACAATGCTGTAACAGTTTCACATTTTCATTCATGTTGTGTGTTTTTCCCCTTTTGGAAGGGTAGTCAATTAAAGTATAGAAAAGACAGTATTTTAAATGAGCATTTTCCATTTTGTGGATTCACAGGGATTTTAGAGAGTGACTTGAAAGTAACTAATAATATGATTACTTTTTTCAGTAAGTAATCACTTAAGTGACCTGATTACAATTTGAGACAAGTAATTAGTATCTGTAATGGCTTACTTTTTTGAATAACTTCCCTAATGCTGGTACCAAGCAACAGCATTCCTAATTACAAACTCCTGCCCAAAAGACCCCAGAGAGTTAAAGTGCCAGAATGCTTCCTATAGAAGAAGCTGGTCCCCCCCCAAGCCAATCCAAATCCTGAGGGCAAAACCGCAAAACACCTATTAACAGACACTTATATTGGAAAGCAGTCTGTCAAATCAATTCATTCCTCTTATTCAATAAAAAACTATTCTTGTAATCTGAAAGTACACCAAATAGTGGTGAAACTGATATTGCGTTAGAACAAGAAATGCTTTCACCTCTTCTGGAAATTGGGTTTCATTTCACATCCCTCAGAGCATTTTTAACACAATCCACGTCTATATATGACAAAGGTGAATCAATCAATTAAATATTTGACTGGTTTCCCCCAAATGGATCCTAAGTACCCAGATTATGCAACCAACAATTGTTCCACCGAGGTCCCTTGTCGGGGTCAGCGTCCGACCCTGACCCTGCAGGTGTTGCTGACCATCCTGTTCTCACACCCTGTGACTGGTCTATCAGCCCAAGTGTGTTCATTCCTTTCCCCTGATTGCCACATGGTTCATTGGGTTGTGCTGTGTGGCTCTGTGAATGTTTACCCTTTGGTCATGAATTTGAGGCCAGTCCCCTCTGTTAAATTGTATTTATTAGAATTTTGTTACCCAGTGTTTCTTTTCTATTAGTTTTCTTGTTCCTAGTTTGTGGTGTTCTATTTTGGTTTTTACTTTATGCCTTTTGTGATTAAGTATTACTTGTCTTTGTTATATTCCTAGTGTTTATTGGATCCACCTGTTTCCCTGTGCCTCATAATTGATTGTTCTACCTGATTGCTCGTTGTCCTGCTCCCTCTCTGATTGGTTAATTGTTTGATTGGTCACTCCTGCTTCTTTGTTACTTGGTTCAGTTGGGTATTTAAGTGCCTGCCTTTGTCCTACTGCTCATTCTGCCATTCTGCCATGCAACTTTGGACCAGTATGTCTTTGGAGATGCTACGTCATAGCTCCTAGGATCACAGAGGCATAGAAATCCCTCCACCATGACAAGGTGGCATTCATAGAGGAGGAATCCTGTGAGGAGTACTTCAGGAGTATGGGGTAGGGGATTCATTGTTGCAGGCCAGTATGTCCCTGTAGAAATGGTGCGAGAGTCTTGTTTGCATCACCATTAGTAAGTCGTTCCAAGTGGGTGTTGGACTCTGTCAGGGCTACCCTTTTCGACCAATTCTGTTAATTACTTTTATGGTTGAATTTCTAGGCATAGCCAGGGAGCAGAGGGGCTTGGGTTCAGGGGCCTCAGGATTGTGTCTCTGCTTTTTGCAGATGATGTGGTCCTGTTGGCGTCATTGAATTATGACCTGCAGCATGCACTGGGGCTGTTTGCAGCTGAGGTATGAAGTGGCTGTGATAAGGATCAGCACCTCCAAATCTGAGGCCATGGTTCTTGACCAGAAAAGGGTGGCTTGCCCACCCCTGGTGGGGGTGGAGTTACCACCCAAGGAGGAGATTAAGTATCTTGGGGTCTTATTCACAAGTGAGGGAAGAAGGGAACAGGAAATTGACAGGTGGATTGGTGCAACATTGGCAGTAATGCAGATGTTGTACCAGTCTGAGTGTTGGCTAGAGTGTTGTATCACTCTAGCCTTGTTGATTTTGCTTCCGCTGTCTGCATCCATCCCTCCAGTGGTATCCACAACACTGCCTAGGTAGGTAAAAGCTCCTATCTCCTCTAGGACAGTGTTGCTCATGAAAATGTGGTTGCTGGTTTTGGAGTGGCTCTTGATCACTTGTGTTTTTGTTGTATTGGGAGTGAGACCAAGTTTTATTGCATTTTGTGTAAGTCTGTCCTCTTGCATTTGTGTCTGTGTGTGTGAAAGAACTATATCTGAAAATTCCAGATCATCCAGCTGCTCCCACATTGTCCACTGAATTCCATTTCTCTTCCCCTCCGTTGTTTCCCTCATGACCCAGTCAATTGCGAGGAGGATGAGGAATGATGAGAAGACATCCCTGTTTAATACCTGTCTTGACTTCAAAGCTCCGGGAAAGCTGACCTGCATGCATGACTTTACATAAGGTGCCCTCATATGAGTTCTTGATTAGGTTTATTCCATAGTGTTCCATAAGTTGCCATAGTAACGTCCAGTCTAAGCTGTCAAAAGCCTTCTCAAAGTCCTATGAAGTTCCTGTACAGGGATGTGTTCCATTCAATACTGTTCAAGGACTGTTCCTCTTCCATCTTCAGGAAGCTGTAGACAAGAGCCTCCGGGATCAGCAAGCAGGATTCAGGAAAGATCACTCATGCATAGATCACATAGCAACGCTATGCATCATCATTGAACAGTCTTGGGTAGTGACTAAACGAATTGTTGCGGATACAAGCGGCAGAAATGAGTTTCCTTCAGTGTATGGGCTCAGTCTTGGATATGGTGAGGATCTCGTACATTCAGGAGGGCCTCAAAGTGGAGGTTCTGCTCCTCTGCATCAAAAGAAGCCAGTTGATGTGGTTTGGACAGCTATGTAGGATGCCTCCTGGATACCTCCTTGGAGAGGTGTTTTAGGCATGTCCAAATAGGAGACCTTGGGGCAGACCCAAGGCAATCTGGAGAGATCTTTCAGCTAGCCTCGGAATGCCTTGGTATTCTTCTGGGGAAAGGGAGGTCTGCACATCCCTGCTGCCCCCGTGAGCAGCAGAAAATGAATGGATTCTGAGTAATGAATTTACCTTTCCATCCATCTGTCCATGCTTCCTCCAACTGCTTATCCTGGTCTGGGTTGCAAGGGGGCAGCATAGGGCACCAGGAAATGGATGCCAGTGCATTGCAGTCCACTCACATACAAGTTATGGATCTATTTCTTGATAGTCAAATGATGGATCGAGAGGTGAGGAGGGAGATGAGGGTATGTGAATGGTTAAGGAGGCTTCACTGTGGTTCCAAAGATATCCAGGTCCCATCTCTCAATCTTTAATGAGTTTTTGGTTTTTAGTTATGGGGAGCAGGGTGTAATTGGCCAGCTTTGTGTTCCAGCTACTCATCCTTGAGATGTCCTCACTTCTGCAGGAAGCATTCCGGCACTTCGACTTCCTGGGATTGTTTGGGTGAGTTTGGGAATACTGTTGCTTGGCACCCATACACCACCATAAATCATTGATGGATCCAGAGCATATTCAGGTCTTAACAAATTCTTCCCTATGTAGCCATATCTGTACCAAGACATTAATTTTCTTTTGCTTGTTCACGCTACTTCCTGGATTGGCTAATTCTTTACTGGATAAGCAGTTACTGAAGATGAGTGGATGAATCGAACAATTTTACCTCCATGTGGTGTTCTGTCACCTAGGTGTGTTATTTTGTGGTTTCTTTAGTTTGTTTATTTTTTCATGTTTATTTTTGAACCCCCATGGTCCCTTTTTTTTTGTGCTTTTCCCCCGACATGTTCAGTTTTATTAATAAACCCCTTTTTCTCGGAGCCGCTCCGTGGATCGTCACCTTTCTTCCGCCTGTGCCATGGCACACCGTAACATTACATGGCCACATTCAGATCTCTAGGAACAAAAGGACATTAGTTAACCCACCAACAATGTAACATTTATAAACAACATAAAATTAATCAGCACTTCCACTGATGCCTCTGATATGCAATAAGCATCAGGGTGCCAGTGCCCATTTACTAGTCTATAATCCAATGGTGCTCAACCTAGCTCCTGGTAATCTACTATCCTTCGAAGATTGAGCCTAAACAGGTCAGGATACCTTAAAACAAAAAAAGCAATGGCCATCTAGTGTGTAGATTCTTCTATAAAATTTTATTTTGTTATCAATATGGTAAGCTTTTCATTAGATTGCAGAAATCGCACCTGAAAGTTCATCCACAGGTGTGATCGAGTTGGATGGTAGGGCACGGCGGAGAATCCATGCCATAGAGATTCTGGAAGTAAAAAGCAGGATTAAATTTGGCAAGAGGAGGGGGGAGACCCTAGGATAATGTTTGCTGAGTTGGGGGTACAAACTGTAAATGGAAAATATAGGACAAATCCTTTAGTGAAATCCTAGGAGCGCCCCTGATTCATTTGACTGACTTGCTACAGCATAAGTTCTTCGGGAATTGAGGAAGCCAACATATGATACAAATGGTACCATTTAGATTTGCTTTATACACAATGTGTGATTCCACTGAAATTTGCATGTTACATTAAAAAATAAATGTAATCTTTTTCAACATAATCTACTTACAGATATTTACCTATACAAAATGTGCATTGGTTAATCTCAAGCAACTTACATTTTGTGGATGGTGGTTGCGTTTTTCTCAGTCCTGTTACCAAAACCTCATGCAACTGTTTAAATGACATTTGAAAAGCATTTCGATTAGTTCTTCTGCATTCCCCTCAATAAAGTGTGCATTTTAAAGAAATGATTGGTTACATGTACATGCATTTGTGGTTACACACACAATATATGTGTGCAAGTTGTACTCCTCAGAAAGAAAGAGAAAGAAATTAAACAATAAGTGGTCAAAACAGCTTAAATGGTGTACCGCTTTTTACAGCTTAATTCCTAGACTTGATCATGTGGTACATCTTCATCTGCTTTTTCCTTCTTCTGCACTTTTCCCCTCACTAATTTGAATTATTTTCCTGCCTGTATTTCTGATCTTCCCTCTTTAGGTATTTCTCCCTCCTCTCTGGATTAGCATCACACTGAGCATGATCTAGCCGTGCACTTATATACTTAGTGGTGGATTAGCTCCTTGAAAGTAATGTTTTCACATTGTAAAATTGGTTTTTAATGTCAGCACCTTCAGTAAATTTACTATTACTCTTGATTCTCAGTCTGTTTTTCAGTCCTGTTACTCATACATACACACAAGTAGGCTAACAGGACTGAGTTTTAGCAAAAACTTAGCAAATCCATGAATCATACTGTAGCAACATGTCATCAAAGCTAATGGCATGATAACACAGAGCACATTCAAGTAACTTACCAGAAATGCAATTCTTTTAGAAATAAATAAAACTTAAGAAATAATTTGGCTAAAAAGACTGAGCGTTAAGACGACTACCTGAGACATACTTACATTATCATCAAAAATACACAAAAGAAAGAGAGAGAACATACTTTTGGTATTTCTGTGGTCTTCAAGCGACTGAGATGATGCAAGTTCCTGTTGAACTTACCACTAGTGGAATGTGCCAAATTTTTCAGGGGCAGACATGTGCTAGGGTAACAGGGCTGGGTGAAGCCCTGGGGACACGTGAAATGTGTATTTTAACTCGCATATGATTGATTCACCATTAGCAAAATGTATTTAAAACAAAAATGGGAAACACTGCCACACAACAATACAAAATTATATTTTAATCATATTATATTCCATTCCACCATTATATTCCATATATGAAAATGTCCTGGGGACAGAATTTGGTGGAATGGCCCTGGTAGCAAGATGCTTGTATTAATCCAGAAGTTGTTTGTCACTGTTAGGATGAAGACCCATATAAGCCATTCTGAAAGGAAAACTGTTGTTACTTCACAAATTATGTCTGAAATCTTGCATATGTGTAAAATAGCTCTCACTGAAATATGATTACGAATAGTTATGCGTAATCACATTTCTTTTTTTAAGGATAGGTTTTGTCTGTATTTGAAATAATACAGGGTAGGGCTGTCACAGTTAACACTAATTTTCAAGTCATAATGTGTTATTATAATTTCTTTGATTGCCTTAATGCATGTGGTCTTTCGACACCCAAATAGGAGAATCGTATCAGAAAAGAGTTTTAATAGAGAACTATAGTATTCATTCATGGGTATGCACTGTGGGAAAGCTTCGGTCCTGACATTGTTCTAAAATCCCAGAATTCACAGCTGAAATCAGAACATTCCGTTACCAGCTCACAGAGAAGCAATTGCCAGGTGGCTCAGAGGATAAAAATGTCATATTTTTCCTTCTTTTTTTTTGACGGCTAGTACCTTAAAGTGAGGATCTTTCCTGTTATTAAGGGCACTTTAAATTGTTTTCTGGCTTCTATTTTTAAACCCATTTGCCAAATAGGTTTTAGATTTAGTCTTTTGTTCTGAAGCATTCACCGTCTGTTTTTTTCCAGCAATGTCATAAACTGAGGCAAAAATAGTCTATTGGTAGACAGAGGGGAGTAAAATGCATTTATGTTGTAGCTGCTTTAGTTGACCTATGCAACACTGACATAGGTATTATTTATTTTCGTCTTCATTTTGAAACTTCTGTTTGGAATAAATTCATTTTGATTGCGAATTTACAGACTATAAAATATAAAATATTTTGGATTGTACTGCAACATGATTGTAAATGTGATTAATTACCAAGGTGTGTCATTGATTGCATTAAAAATTAATCATTTGACAGCCCTAAATATAATACAATGCCCTCTGTTTTATAGTGAGCTTTACTGATCCCAGATTTCTTATTGCCATCTGTTCATCTAGCCTTTTTGAAAGAATTGAAATTCAGCTTTAACTGGCTTTCAAGTAATATATGCATTGGAATCTGTACATCCCAAGTTAAATGGTTAAATATTATAATATATTTCCTTAGTGTACATTTTGCATTAATTTGGGGGTTCAGTATTAATGGTGCAATGATTCTGAAACCGAGACTGAAATACAATACAAACGTTCACTATCTTGACATCCCCCCACAACCCACTGCCACCGCTGCAGGTGCATCCTGTTGTGCTCTCATTACGTCACAAAATACATCATTACGCTACAAAACTCATGTTCCATTTCACAATTTACACCATAACACATGTAAATCATGCAATTATTATCCTATTTAAAGTAAGTATAAGCTGTATATTTTATATATATTACACCAGGGCCATTAACTTGAGTCAGCTGGCTGGCATGGGATTTACAATTCAAGACAAGTCTTCACAGTCACTTACATGTATGTAACAGGTTTATTTCCTTGTAAATAGTACTACGGTTAGCCTTATATTCAATATTCAGTTTTCCGGCTTAAAAAACTTTTAATGGAAGTACGGTAGGACGTTTTTGATGATAGAATTGTGTTGTCCAGTACACAGACAAGTATTCACACCGGTTAGTTTTGAAATTTGAGCCATTTCATAATTTATGCTAAATCTTGTTAATAGCTAAGAAAATAGGTCATTTCAGCAGTAATGAGATATTGATTTAGCATTTTGGTTTCATGGCAACTGTTGCATACTCGATGGTTGTCCAGATTTCTTTACGGGCGAATTTCAATTAATTTCTGAATGTCTGCATGCATCTGTATAATGTGCAATGGGACAATACGGGAATGGGTTAATAACTTCAAAACTAGACAAGACAAACACATCTAGTAGAGTGTAGATTGGTTAATGGACTCTAGGGCACAATGCACACCCCTTGGATTTTCAGGTTATTTTTGTCTGAAATAGTTATTAATTAATATATTGTATAAATTTAATATGAAATGGTGCAATGCACAAATGGGTTAATAGCTCTAAAACTAAACCAGATAGGCACATCTAGTAAAGTGTGCATTGATCGGGTGGTTAACTTTGTCTATAATAGTTAATAATTATTTTTCAGAATGTAGTAATTAATTGGCATTGTTGACACAACACAGCACACAGTGCACAACAACTAAATGTGTTCTCTGTATTTAACCCATATGTGCCCATGTGACATAGCAGGGGGCAGCTAATTCAGCGCCCTGGGGAGCAGTGCTTGGGGGCGGTATCTTGCTTAAGGTACCTATTATATTGTATCCATGTAATATGCCTTTGGGGCAATTCAAAAATGGGTTAATTGGTCTAAAAACCAAATGATACAGCCATGTCCTATAAAGTGTGATTTGATCAGTGGAATCTATGTCTATAATAGTTATTAATAGAGCTGCGATATGGCAAAAAAAAATTATCACGATATTTTTTCCTGTATTGACCGATATCAATAATTATCAATATTATAGTTTCACAATGCTGTTCCATGTAATAATGTAATAATCAAAATAAAAATAACCATATTCTGGAATGAATAATGAATACATGGAAATTAACAATATTAGTAAACAAATACTTATTTTCCAACAAATTTTACTTTTACAAAATTCCCTTAAAATTATAAAAGGTTATTGATTTTCAAGTATTCAAAGAAACATAGCTCAAATGAACAAAACCATATAATAATGTAACAATGTGCAAAACTGTATAATATTGCAAATATGTTAAAGGGCGAACATAAAATAAAGCAGGACAAAACTGACTGCAACAAGTATCTTCTTCTATTCTTGGTCTCTTAAAAACTTTTTTGAGGTAGAAAAGTATCTAAATTTATTTAAAAAAATGCCAAATCATGGTTAGATTATTTTGTCTGGCGCTGCAAAACGTCACCACGCGTCACCATGTCACATGGTACAAAATCCTCGCGAGAGTAAGACGACATGAGACAGACCGTGCAGCACAAACTTGAACCGCCTCCGTGACAACACAACTTTGCCCTTATTGGCTGAAGATTTTAGTCACACGCATGTTACGTTAGTATCCCAGGAAATTCCAATGCGTTATGTGCTATTTCTCCCGAAAAGCAGTGAGAACTGGTTTTCAGTTCATTTACCTGGTAAAATAAAGTTTAAATAAATTACATAAATGCTCTAACAGTACACATTAGTTACTGCAATGTTGCGCTG